CCGCCATGTGATTGGCTGCTTAGAAATTAAGTGTTAACGAGCAGTTGGACAGGTGTACCTAATAAAGTGGTCGGTGAGTGTATATATATATATATATATATATATATATATTCACCAGAATAACTTTGTCTTAAGAGAAAATAACTGCAGCTCATGCATTGAATTGATTTTAAATTGAAAATACTTTATTCATCCCAAAGGGAAATTAAATGTTGCAGTAACTCATACATTATTTTTTTAAACAGGTGATGTAGGTGTTGATAGCTGTAAGCAGGAAGGATCTCTGTAGGGGTCTGTCTTGCACCAGATCGGGAGAAGCCTCTGACTGAAGACACTTCTTCTGAAGAGGATGCTCACCGTTGTCCATAATTCTCTTCACTTTAAGAAGAATTCGTTTTTGTGAAATGATTTCCAGGAGTTCTAGAACAGAACTGGCCTTCTTAATTAGCTTGTTGAGCTTTTTAAAGTAACTAGCTCTGATACTGTTAGCCCAGCAGATGGTGGAAGAAGAGACACTCGCTCTATTCGTATCAATTTAAAAAATTAGAATCGGGACAACCATAAACTGCTCACATTAATATTAACATGGTAAATTCCATACTATTTTTGATTTTGTGGAAAATGTCTGTTGTAATTGTTATACTGAAAGTTAACTCACTCCTTAAAGATATAGAAGATGTTATTTTTCCAGGTGGATCATCAAAATAAGTGGTCCTCCTAATTGTCAATCATTCTGGTGATATGATTACATAAGGCTGTCCTACATGCTTGTCTCCATTTTCACTTACCGGTGCTGAGTCTGACATAGTGGAAAAATTACAAATCTTATTTTGGAAAGTAAGCTTGAATGAGCGACGCAAACAGCAACTTTTAAACAGAGCGTGCACGAGGAGAAGTGGGCTTGTGCATGCTCTCACACAAATGTAATACGTTCCCTCTAGGGAGTAGGTACAGGGTTGTGCATGTGCATTTTTTTTTTTTAAGTGGAGAGGGTTGGTCTTTCCACATATTCACCAAAATCCTCCAGTATACCTTTAATAAAGGCTTTAAGATTGAAGAAGTCATAAAAAAATATTTAAGACCTTCATGTTCAAGTCTAATTAGTAAACCCATCAAAAATTAGTTTTACATTTCAAATCACAAACTAATGGCTGGATATAATGTTCTTTAGGATTTTCTAACAGACAGCAAATACCGTGGTTTCTTACCCTTTCTTCTTGTTGAACCATGTTCACTGAACTTTCTAAAACAAGCCATGTCTGCAGTGCTTTGGATGGTGTTGTGGATTTTTTTTTTTTAACCATCTCTAAAGCACTTTTTAGAGTGATTTTAGTTGCCTCTCCACAAACAGGCAGTATCATCGCTGATATGTCTTCTCTCTTTGTAGATGTCAGTAAATGTGGTTCACTGGTTTCCCAAAGCCATAGAAATGGTGTGAGCTTTTCTGCAGAAATACTGTATGTTTGATAATCCATTTTTAATTCTAATTATTATTATTTTGAGAATAAAGTCCTCATATTATGAGATTAAAGTCGTAACATTACAAGAGTAAAGTGAGTCCACTTTGACATACTGCCCAGTTTGATGCTGGTGCTTAAAGATCTCTTTATTATGCCAAAATATAACTTCACATAATGCTCCTCATTTTAGGGAAGAAAGTACTTCTTGTAAGAGTTGTTATAAAATATAAGTTTATTCCCGTACTATCAGGACTTTATTCTCCTAATGTTACAACTTTATTCTCATCATTTTATGACTTTAATCTTGTAATTTTATGACTATTCTCATTGAAAATTTATTCTCGTAATTTTACAGCTTTATTCTCGTAATGTAAAGACTTAAATTCTCATAATTTTACAGAATCAGAATCAGAAATACTTTAATAATCCCAGAGGGAAATTACTTACAACTTTATTCTTGTAATTTTACGGCTTTATTCTCATAATGCTACAACTTTAATCTCATAATTTTATGACTATTCTCGTTGCAACTTTTTTCTTGTAATTTTATGACTTTATTCTCATAATATTACGACTTTATTCTCGTAATGTTACAACTTTATTCTTGTAATTTTACGACTTTATTCTTGTAATTTTACGACTTTATTCTTGTAATTTTACAACTGTATTCTCGTAATGTTACAACTTTAATCTCATCATTTTATGACTATTCTCGTTGCAACTTTTTTCTTGTAATGTTATAATTTTATTCTCATAACTTTATGACTATTCTCATTGCAAATATATTATCGTAATTTTACAACTTTATTCTCATAATGTAACGACTTACATTCTCATAATTTTACAACTTTAACCTCAGAATTTTACAACCGTATTCTCGTAATGTTCAACTTTATTCTCATAATTTTATGACTAATTTCGTTGCAACTTTTTCTCTTAATTTTATGACTTTATTCTCATAATGTTACGACTTTATCCTCATAATTTTACGACTTTATTCTTGTAATTTTACAACTGTATTCTCGTAATGTTACAACTTTATTTTCATAATTTTATGACTATTGTCGTTGCAACTTTTTTCTTGTAATTTTATGACTTTATTCTCATAATATTACGACTTCATTCTCTTAAATTTATGACTTTATTCTTGTAATTTTATGACTATTATCATTGAAAATTTATTCTAAAGACTTAAATTCTCATAATTTTACAACTTTATTCTCAGAATTTTATGTCAATTCTCATTGCGACTTTTTTCTTGTAATTTTATGACTTTATTCTCATCATTTTATGACTATCCTCATTGCAAATATATTATCGTAATTTTACAACTTTATTCTCGTAATGTTACGACTTCATTTCCATAGTTTTATGACTATTCTTTTTGCGACTTTATTCTCGTACTTTTATTAATTTATTCTCATAATATTACGAGTTCATTCTCAAAATCAAAATATAAAAACATTGCTAGCCTGGCCCAAATACTCGTATCAACCTGCTTCATATTGTCAGACAAATTTCTAGAAATGATTTATTGATTCTTCTTTTCTGGCAGATAATTCATGAGTTAGGAAGGAAGAGTTAATACTATTAATATTAGTCAATGCACCACAAATTAAAGAAGCACATCATTTCCATTTAAGCTGGATTTAAAATGAGGGGAAAAAAGCTGGAGCTAAAGAACCATTTATCAGATCTGTTTAAAGGTTATTAGAATGTCTGCATCATAAGATAAAATTATTAATAAACTCAAATTTAATTGATAATTATTTCAATACCAATGTTTCCATTGTGCCATTTTCTTTGGACATCTGAGCTCTTCATTCACAGGTTTTACCGATTACTTCAAACAAAGTTTATATTATATTTCTTTATTTATATAGGAGCAATTTTATGTGTGCAGTATATATATCCATCTGTATCTACATATGTCCATTTTTACATACAGTACAAATCCGAGCCTGTAAAGTCAAGCATCAGTTGGTTTCAGCTGTACAGTTCCCTCTCAGACAGAAGCGAAAAGAAATGCAAAATAAACATAATATTGGATGAAGCGAGGAGAGGTTCAAAAAGCTGCAGGTCAGTAGGTTATAACAGTGAGAGGAAACCAAAAGGTAAAGATTCACTATTTTCCACTGCAGTGTGTCGGGTCTCACAGTTGGAGGTAACACGTTGCCTTTAAGTTAAAGGTTTGATTAGAAAACAGGATAAGGGCTCAGAGATCAGTTGGTTCTTTTCGATTTGTGCCATCAAATCAATAAGAAGGTTAGATATTGTTCAGTCATCTTCTCTCTGGGTCCCGACATTGTCATCATCCTCATTGTCTCTCCTCCTGCTCACAGCTATAGGGCCACATTGAACTCAGTCACCAGGAAGTCCACGTAGTCCTTCTCTTTGGTCTTGAAAGCCTCAGCGATGATGCGAGCGGCGTCCCTGTGCTCTCTGCCTCTCAGAGAAACCCCGTTTACCTCCAGGATGATCTGACCGACCTTCAGCTGACCGCAGTTATGGGCTGAGCCCCCCCTCTGCAACAGAGAGAGGGAATAGACAAGAGAGTCAGCAGAAGGAGCATTATAAGTGTCCCTGGTTCATCAGACCGCTCACACCATCTTAAAAAAGTACCACACACTGCAAAAAACATCTAGAAATAAGTAAAAACTGTCTTAAATTAAGTGTATTTAACCTTAATTTGAGCAGGTAAATAAGATGATCTGCCAATGGAATTAGTATCTTTACTCCTAAAATAAGATAATTAGATAATATACACTTGAAATAAGACAAAGCGATTGTTTTTTTTCTTATTTTAAATGTAAATTGTCTTGTTCCATTGGCAAAATGTCGCACTTACCTCCTCAATTCAAGAAAAAATGCACTTAATTTGAGCAAAAATTACTTATTTAGATTTCATTTTTTTGCAGTGCATTTTGTCAGAATAAAGTAATAAACTTAAATTGAATTGACATATTTTTTATGGGATGTTATATGGTTAAAAAAAAAAACAATGTTGGGTATATAATAATTAAAAAAAGCAAAAAAAAAAAGCTGAATAATGGAGTGAAATGAAAAGATAATCAGATTTTCACAAGCTTAAAATATGCTATTCTTCTGTGCAAAGCATATCAAGCTCAATCAGATTAGATAGAAACCTTCTGTCAATTCCTATTTTTGTTTTTTCCAGTATTTTCTAATTAGACTATGATTAAGGTATAGAAAATACATGCAGGATGTGGACTAAGGTCCAATTGGTTAGGATTAGGTTTCCCAATCATTATGTTTCATGTCTGCTCAGTTATCAGGTCCAGTACCTTTGCACCTAAAACTTTAAAACGTTTTTGGTCTAAACAAAGTTTTACAGCCTACATCTAACTTTTCCTGAGTTTATTTTTCTACAATTCTTAAGGAAAATTATCTTTTGTTCTCACAAATTAATCACTAATGATATCCAACAAAAATATCATTAAATATATATCCAACAAAATGTGAGTTTTGTTGGTGAAATTTGCCATCATTTAGCATTATTTTTCTATGTAAAATACTCCTAATACTAAATCACCAGTAGGATTAATAAGGCAGGAAGTATTTTTTGCTTGGGAATCGAGGCTTTATACAAATGTACCTAACATCTGAGCAGTTTTGCCATGAAAATGTTGTTTCTGCTTCAATTAAATCTAAGCAAACAGCATTATGCCATTGTTTTATTTCAAAGTTAGTATTCCCATCTTAAACTAATGAGTGATGCCCAATCTAAAGACCAACAGTATCACTGCGGTATTGATGTGGGTTTCTAGTTTAAGGAGCTAATACTCCATAGCTTTGGTTTTCATAATTAGATGGATGCGCATTGAATGAGTGTTAATGAGGAAACAATCTGTGGTTTTTAGACTTATATAAATGCTTCCTTTCATACATAAATATTTCCATTAATGTCATTTTAATGGGGCTTATGAATAAACATGCAAATCAAATCAATAGAGATACTAATGAAAAACATTTTTAGGTCACATCAGGGATATAAGAATTAACTGCATAGTAAGTAGATGGTTTATCTTAATAAATTAAATCAGCTTTTAATGGAAATGTGACATATTTTATTCTGGTTACGTGTAATGAAATATATTTGCTCGTCTTCAATATTTTCCTTTCTATTTAAATAAAAACCTCATATGTTGCAGCTAATAAACCTAAATGTTTAATACTGAAAATATCACCCATGTTCAGATTTTTTCTAATATCAATGTAAAAGTTAACATTACCTATAAATTAGGAAAAAAAGTTGTTTTTTAATTACGTTAATTTGTCATATATTGTTTGAATATCAAAATAAGGATCTATAAAAAAACAAACTGAACCTTTTGTATTAGACCTACTCCCAAAGGCTGATTTGTTTTAAAGCAGCTGAAGAGGAACAATTGTTGGTGGCCATTTTGAGAAGACAGGACTAATAACCCTGCCCTTTGCAGGGACAGATAATAGGCAGCCTCCTGGCCACCAGCAGCCTGTTTTTCTCCATCCACAGACATTGAGCTTGAGGCTACCTCTGAAGAGGGCCCTTGAGGAGAAAGGAGATGGGAAATACTGCGGCCAGGGAATTGGTATATCCAACTCTCTAAAGTGCTTACTTTCGTGGCTGCAGAGAAAGCCTGTTGTTTGGGGCAAAGCTTTGATGCTATCATTGGCTGCACCGGATAAAGCTGAGGCAGGGTGGGAAACAAAAAAACAAAACAAAAATGTTTCTTTTTTGCTTCCCTCAAAGCAAACTTAATATTCTGTATATTGAAAATGTGTTTTTTTATGTCATAAAGAGTTTCAAAAAACAGATGCAACACAGGCTGGTTTTAACCTTCGCACAAAAATAAAGAAGAGTGTCAATAAAGGCCCTTGTTGGTTTATAGAGAGTTTATAGAGATTTAAAATACTGACATAGTGATTTATGGTGAGGCTAACTTTCTTTTCCATAAGGGGCTGGCAGCCCCTCACACAGTTAAGATATTGCAATGAGCGGTTCTCTAAATATTCAGATTTAAAATGTTTTGTCATTGTCTCCTTTCTATCTCTTCTTTCTTTCATCTTTTCTCTTTTTTCCTTTTTTTTCTTCTGTTTTTCTGCTCTATTTACATTGCAGTGTCCATATAAACTGTAAAACTCCCTGCATAATTATAATAAAGCAATTTATATGCATGAAACAAGTGGAGCAATATGGCAATTGCCATACTGCTAAACTTGTGAAAGTAAAATCTGTTGGGCTCTTTTTTGGCATCAAGACTATTATTCTTATTGCCACATTGCCAGACAGGACACTGTTAAGAAAAAAAAAAATAAATATTCAGATTTAGAAAAAAAAGCTTTTTCCTTGCATGACAAACAGCTATAATGGATACATATTTTTGAAAAGCAAACATACATTTTCTTTAATTATAAGTAATTTAGAGCTATCCTTAAATTTTTTAAGTGCTACCCCAATAAATTACTTTAATTAATTAATTAATATAACATAGAGGTTCACAAACCATCTTAATCGATTGGTGAATAGATGCATTTTTGGCTTTAATAGATATAAGATGGCCAAAATTTTTATATTATTGGTTTCTATTTAATAAGAGTGGAAAAAGAGAATTGCTTTTATTGTGAAATATGAACACTGATATAAGAGAGCTCCTTGTTCCCGTCCTCTGCTGTTATCCACTGTAATGAGGTGCATATTTTTCATTATTAGTCTCCTAGAGAAGCGAGTCAGGGCTCCATCTTTGAGGTAGAAATGTTGTTTACGGCTCTAAATTTAGAGACATGGAAAATTAAGCAGAGGTTCTTATCGGTGAGGCAAAAATGGGAAATGCAAACACTTAGAACCTGATTTATTTGAAGGGCTTATTTCATTATTTGTGATAAAGAAAATTAATTCACAAAAAGCTGAGCCTTGTCAAGTTTTGTCTCTGTCAGGAAAAGGGCTTATCGCATAAATAAAGGCTTTCTATAAACCAAGAAGGGCTTTTACGGACTACTTTAATGCTCTAAAGTTCTGATTTTCCTATTAATTTGGGAGCTGGTGCCTTTCTGTCTCAGACTGAAGTTAGAAGGAAGAACAGCTCATCTCAGGTGGGAGCGGCTGACCACATAAAGAGGTATCAGAGGAACTCTCAGACTTCTGCATTCGTTTGGCGATTTGTACCACAAGCACGGAAAGCAGCAGCGGTTTTACAAGCTGTCGCCACAATGACCCTCCAGCCACCTCAGCAGCCAGCGTAACCCAAACAGAGCGTCCATCCAGAGCACCAGGCCTGTTTTTCTTACTTATCTCCTAACTTCATTTTCTCAAATCTCACTTTTTATGTAGCATGCTGTCCTCCAGAAGCCTATTTGATTCTGAATGCACTGATTTTCAAACCCTTTATCCCGGCCTCTGCAATCAGCCTAGACCCTTTTTTTTTTTTTTATCCAATCAGCATCTCAGTGAACAGAGAGGCTCAGATACAGCTCTGAACAGACTCTGTAGCTGCTCCCTGCTCAGATCTTTTAAAATCATAGATTCTGCGTTCTCTGAAAATGATTGGTGTCTTGGATAATCCGAACCAGCTTTGCTGACTTGCAAATAACTGTGGAAAACAGATGAATGCTCCAGCAGATGCAGCCCTCGCTTCAGACTAAGCCATCAATATTTGGATTTATCTCCAAAAACTCACCAGATGTTTTGGCTTAATTCAGTAAACAGAGGCTGCAAATGTATTTCCCCTGCTTGATATCAAACTTCCACCTTATTCAGTTGACCACAACTGACCTGCATCCTGCAGCCCCCTGTGCATTTATTCCCCCTGCCCCCCAAAAAATTGAATTTAGACTCACAATGAAAAATGCTGGGAATCTTTCCCTCAATTTGTTTAATTAAAAATAGAAAAAAAAAACTTCCTGTTAAAGAATTATCTAAAAAAATACTGTAAGTAAGTAAGTAAGTAAACTTTATTTCTATAGCACTTTTCACAGACCAGGGTCACAAAGTGCTGCACAAATTTATAAAAAGTTTATATAATTTAAAACAACATACAGAGACAATAAACACAGTATTAAACTAAAAAACAAGTTTAAAAAAGTGGGTGTTTAGTTGTTTTTTTAAAAGTGTCTATACAAACAAGAGAACGAATGGTACAAGATAGCTCATTCCAGAGGCGAGGCGCCACAGCTTTAAAAGATCTGTCTCCTCGGGTCTTAAAATGGGTCCGAGGAACCGTCAGCAAGTTCAAATTGGATGACCGAAGGTTCCTAATGGAAACATAAGGCTGGATGAGGTTCTTAATGTAGTCTGGTGCCTGTCCATGAAGAGCTCCTGCAATTTGAACGTTTTTTTTTTATAATTCCTGACTCCCTGTGTGTCTTTTTTTAGAAATATAATGTTGCACAGATGCACATTGCTTTCAAAACCTCTTCAACATAGAAACAACAAGAAAACATACCATTTAATTAATACAGATGTGTTTATCTTTATAACCTGCTACATGGACAATGCTACTTCTTTGATGGCATTTATAGTAAGAGAATAAAGGATCCAGCTTTTTTTTTTCTTTACCATCATAACACATAGTGAGGAGTTTGGCAAAGGAAACAGATATGGGGCTTACATGCTTATAAATAACAGCTTTTTGTGGATCTTCAAGAAAAATGTTCTGTTGTTTCATCATAAACACAAATGATGTAGAATTATTAATTTTGTGCTTTGATGAGACACGTTTTTTCAATGACAAACTCTCCAGGTGGATGTGGCATAAATCAAGGTCTAAACATATGGAAACAACCCTAAAGGCCACTCCTAAGGATTGTGGGGGAAAGGGCTGGGCAATTAGTTGCATTTACAACTAAGTCATAATTTAACAAAACGCATTTCTCAAACCTCAGAGGCACTTAGTTTTGAATACATTACGCTTACGGTTATTTCAAAGAAAATCTTTTCAAATGTGACCTGTGTCTGAATGGCCAGGTCGCATTCATCCGACCTAAACGCCATTAATACCCGACAAAGGTCACTATTCTGGGTCTTGCTATGAAGAAGCAGCAAGAAAAACAACAACAATTGCAGACGATGATGCGGAGAGCAGTATTTATGTTTAACCATCTTGAAAAGATTGTGTTTTTATGGTTGGGAAAGACCGCTAGAGGCGCTCCGGCACTACCATCCATGTTTACTTCCATAAACACAGAGCACACAGGCCTGAATGTCATTGCGTCCTCTACTGCGCATGTGGGACAGTTGCGTTGTATGACTGCAGTTCACACAGGAGATCACATACAATTCGCACATATTTGGAAATGTGAACGGCAGTGCAAAAAAATCGGATTTCACTCAAAAAAAATCATAATTGAGCATCAAGGCTTGCATGTAGCCCAAGTGGCCTGGGTCGGATTAGAAAAAATCAGATCTGTGTTGTTCAGACAGTCATGAAAACATCAGATACAGGTCGCATGTGGGCAAAAAAATTGGATTTGGGTCACTTCAGGCTCTTGTGTAAAGGCAGTCTTAGAGAGAAACTGTTTTTTCTGAAGGTGCTGAGTAACATCCACATTGGAAAAGCAAGTCATCCGGGACATGCATGTGGAGTTAAGATCTTTAAAAAGGAAGAAAAATGATCGAAAGTGTCTTTTTTAGAGGTTTCACTACTTTAAAGGAAAATCTGTTCTCTCTAAAAGCTGTAGACATTTCTCTGGTTATTCAGGCTGCAACAAAGCAGGATTTTCTGCAATAAAAGGAAGGCTGTACTAGTCCAGAGAAGCAGGTTTATTTTAACCTACAGAGATTTGAACTACTGTCAGAAACATGCATGATGTGAAAATGATGGCGGGTTTTAATGAAATCTGTAGGCACCTATTCAGAAACTGTTTCAACAACCAGAAAATGTCAAATAAAAACCTGTAAGCTTCAGCTAAAAAACAGGTGGTCATTCGTTTTTTTTGGTCTGGGGAAGGATCCAACATGGAGCCAGATGGTTCAGTAGATAAAAGACCAAAAAAAAAAAAAGAATCAACCTTCCTCCATGGCCATATCAGTCCCCAAACCAAAACTGATGACTAACAAATCATGCTGCTGGAATAAAAATGCAATTTATCTTAAGGCTTTATACACTTTTTTTAAATCAGAACTTCAGGATATGAAATATCACTGGAGGATGAGGCGTTTATAAATCTTACTGAGGACGACGATCTGGTTGTTCCTCCCGACTCACCTGGATAGTGACGATCCGTGGCAGCGGCTGGCGAGTGTTTGCGCCGCCCTCGATGGCGATACCAAGGGTGCTGGCACTCTTTGGCACCCTCACTAGAGTGGAGGTGGGCTCCAAAAGGCCCGGCTGAGGCAAGAGATAGAGATTACAGAAAATTATTATTATTTATGAAAATATTTTATTAAACTTACATCACCTTTGCTGTTTTGTTTCTACATTATGAAGAACCACACCTTATTTGTAAATTATAAAGGCCAAAGTCCATAAAGCAAACTTAGGTTTAAGAATAAACTCATGAATTCAAATTCAGTATATTTAAGGCTTAAAACACTGTCAGGAATTATATTTAGGGAACTTTATTTATTTTTACTATCTTTTATGTTAAATTCTCCTATGAAAAGTTGAAAGCATGTTTCTGGGGTTTCACATCTGAGTTCTGTTAAAATATTTGGTGATATCCTGTTTTCTTTTTTTTTTTGCTTGTGTGAATCTGGATATTTTTATAGTCATTCTGTTGATGTTATGTCTGATTTTCCCAATAAGCGACAATAAATGACATTTCTACTTCATCTCCTTTTGAGATTAAAAACAGTAGAGCAAAATAAATGAGACATTAATGGTCAAAGCTTCCAGGAGCAACCAGCGGTTTTATCACCGTCACATTTGATAAGACATTCAATTTGGGGTCCACCGCTGTTAATTTTTTAGATTAATCCTCAGAAATCTTTTACTAACTCATTTAATCAGCGAGGTGTACAGCAGCAAGGAAACGCTGATAACATATAGGACTGGGGCCAATTAGGACCGGCGGGAAGAAACAATCTCTGTTAGGTTCTCTGGCATAATCCAACAAATAATAATCTCAAGTCTTTTTAGATTAGTTAAGGTTAAGAGGCGGCCATTTTAAAAGCTCCTTAGGAAGAAGCATAGGCCCAGAGGATACAGGATTGTCCAGCACACCTAGCAGGAGGTAGGAGGTGACTATTGAGCAATCCTCACTAAACGGAAAAAAATATGACTTCTTTGACTTCTTGTCTCCCGACTCCCAGCTAATTCACATTAAAAAGATCCTAATCTGGACACCAGCTGAATGCTCTGTTTATTAATAGCAACAAGGTTTCTGGGGCTTTTGTAGGAGGAACGAGCCCGCAGCACTACTGATATATATGGGTTTTATATTTTCTGTTCTTTGACAATCATACAAGCTTTGTATCACAAATGAAGCTCTCTTATTACCTAAGCACTCTCATTATCTAAGTTTCTGTTTCTGTGAGAGCATGATATAATTTGTTTTTGTACTCACGAGCTCTCTGTGCCATGCTCTGACCATGATGTAATAATGTTTTTGGTTTCGGCTGTCCACGAGCCCTGGGTGGGTTTGGGGGTTGCCCGTTCCTTATTTTGGTTTCTGTAATCATGAGCTCCAGGCGTGAGAGTGAGCGATCACTTTTCCTGATTGGGTGAAAGATTTTCCTTTGAAGTTTGGCATAAATGACGGATGGCAGTTGGCACCGGCAGAGTCTGCTATGGTTGCGTACGAACGCCTACTGTAGCTGCGCAGTTTGCTGTCCTGCACTGGAAAAACGATCTAGAAATAAGTAAAAATTTCCTAAATTAAGTGTATTTATCCTTAATTTGAGTAGGTTAATGAGAAAGTTTGCCAATGGAATCAGTATTTTTACTCCTAAAATAAGATAATTAGATAATATGCACTTGAAATAAGACAATGCAATTGTTTTTTTTCTTATTTTAAGTGTAATTTGTTTTGTTCCATTGGCAAAATGTCTCTTTTACCTCCTCAATCCATAAAAAAATTCACTTATTTTTAGAAAAAAATTACTTATCTAGATTTCGATTTTTTCCAGTGTGCCGGGGTCGACTGGCTCTCCGATCCTTTGTGTCACAGTAGGGGGAAAATTTAATTTGTATTGGAACAATATAATTTGTATTCAGCACCGTGCCTTGATTGATGTGCTTGCTTTGCTGTTTTCTGTGTTGGAATAAAACGAAACGAAAACTTTGTTACTGATCCTGCCTAAATTTCATAATACAACCACAGATCCACCACTGTACCTAATGCCAAGTATGATGTGGTTTCACATATCAAACCAGACTCCACCTGTTTGCGATTGTGATGGTACAGTAGGATAAAAAAGGCTCCTTTTCTTGCATGCTGTTGCTATGGAGATGCTAAGTGTGTGTCACGTTCTATTTGTACCGAAGCGAAACACAAAGTAACGGATTAAAATCTGAAGATCCTTTACATCTGGTCCAACATTATGGAAACGCAGGGGGAAATAATCTGTTATTCTCACCCCTGAGTGAGATAATGGAGCATGAGCACCACAGGTCCTCCACTGTACTTTTCCCCAACATTGCAAGTTTAATTTTCTGAAATTTTAATTTAGAGATATTTTTATTAAAGGCTTATAATGGCAATAAAATGTGGGCTTAATCTTTATTTCTTCTGGTTGCCAATAATTCAATCTGTGAGCTTTTGTTTATGAAATCACCATGGAAACGTATCACATTTAAAACCCATTTCCAGAAGTTCTTTTGCAGGTTTCTCATTATGAGTTTATGGAGACAGAGCGATTATAAATATCTGATCATCACATCAGCAGCAGGTGTCTATCCTGAAAGTTTTATACCAATAAAACAGACAGAAAACCCCCAAAACAAGCTCCTCTTTTTTTATGAGCAATAAGTAAAGCCTTGTGTGTTTTTTTTTTTGGTTACAAGATTGAACAAACTGCATATAAAATTGTCCATAAATATTTACAGTTCTCCCTTTTCAGCAACCTCCGACTGACACTTTTGGAGAAGAAGGTAAATGTGTTTCTCCTTCGGAGAATAAAAGGCTTTTATGACACACAGTCCATTTAATCTTCAATTTCCCTGAAAACTAATCCCCACTGAGAAAGGAAACCAACAGGCAAACAGGCCTCTTGTAATATAAAAAATACTCCCATCTTACTTGTTATTCCTGACATCAATCAATGAGGAGCAGAGAGCGATTTGAGTTTCATTACATTACAGCGCAGTGAGTGAGCGGAGAAATGATGGATTGTCGTGTGACCGAATGAATGAAATGAGTGAGAAATAAAAAAAATAGGTGAGACAGCGTGTGAACAAACAGAGGGAGGAGAGAAGAGATCGCAGTTAGGGTTAAATTCAGGATCAGGAGAAGGATTATACATCAGACAAGTTGATTCATCAAGCTCGATCCAGCCACACTGGTTTGGATTTAACCCACTCACTCAGTCACACTTAGGTACACCTGAAAGATGATTTTTTTTAAAAATATATAAATATATGTATTTTTTTAAGGGAAATCTATACAGAAAAGGTAAAAAAAAAATCAGCACTAAAATATTTTTTCTCCGATACTGTTTCCAAAAAAAACACAAAATATCAAAAATGAAGCAGCATTGGTTTCACTCTTAAATCAAATTACATATACAAAGAATAACTATCACTTTTCAAAGATGGATTGTTGACTAAGAGGTTCCTGTGAACAGAAAAAGAAAAATAGTTTCAGTTACATAAAAGCCCTGCAGAGGATAGTGAGGGGAACTGAGATTGAACAGGGCTCTAAACACTGTCAGCGTCATGCCTATGGAACCTCAGCATGAAACGGAGAATTATCGGACTGCTCAGTGTTAACCACCACGCCGCGCTTGTTTGTCATGATTTGGAGGTCATCTGCTCAACTGTTTCTTTCCTAGACAGAGCCACCCGTGGAGCTAGTTTATTTATTTGTACCTTTTCTTACATTAAAAGTAGGGATGCACGATATAATTGGCCCCCTATCGGTATCGGCTTGTATCGGCCTTAAAACTGAATATCGGACATCGGCCACCCCACCGATATTTAACCCGATATTTGATCAGCTTCTGAGTTTCTAAAGTCTAAAAAAAAAAAAATTTAATAAATACTACTTCTTCTTCCTCAAAAACTTCTTTTTTACAGACTTAAAAACTTCTAAAGACGAGGGAAAAAATATTGATCCATTAAAATATCCCAATATCTTCATATGCTGATATATTGCCATTTAAAAACACCATATCAATCTCTTTTACTAATGAAATATTGCTATATGTCATCGTTATGCTACGAAATCCCCCGAAAATTCACAAAATTTTGCCATATTTTTATATGTTGATATATTGACGCGGTATCGATCTATTTTACTAACACGATCTCACAAGAATTTGCAAAATATCACGAGAGTTTGTAACAGAACGATGAAATTTGATGAGATTTTGAAAGTAAAATAGATCGATACCGCGTTTTTAAAAATCAATTTGATATCAGCATATGAAAATATATCTGGGTATGTTATTTTTCAAAGTGTCAGAAATGGATAACAAAACTGCTATTTTCAATGACTACTTATTTTTGTCCAGCTTTAACATCGGTATCGATATCGGTTATCGGCTACATGAGTATATCGGCCAAAATCCCAATATCATGCATCCCTAATTAAAAGTATTTAAAGATCAGTGTATCGATGTTCATTTTGCATGTTCACTTCTGTCTGCTTTAACCTCCGATCGGCAGAATCTGCTCACAATGAGCCTGGTTCTGCTGGAGTTTTTCCCCTCCACTATCGCTGCATGCATGCTTTGCTGAAGCATTGCTGTAGAGTAGAGTATCTTCTGTTGTCACATTCTCATCCAGGAGGAAGTTAATGTTTAATAACCTGGTTCCGTGGCATGTGTTGTGAATTGGTGTTACATAAATAAGATAATCATTTGAAGATTCCAATAAGATTCTTCAATAACAAACAGAAAAAATTGTATCATTATCACCAAATAATGCTGAGTTTATAAACTAGGAAATCAAGATTGCATGAAATTAAGCATTTGGATCAAAATTAAGGAGACGCTAAAGCTCCTAAAATGCAATATTTAGTACAGAGACACAACTGTGTGCCTGTACTGTGAACAAACCACTTTGTCCGATTAGGGAGAGTTGATGTGAGGCAGAGGAAGACGAGTTTTGTTCTTTTAGCAGATATTCTGCAGAGAGCAGCAACATTTTATTCACTAAACCAATGTCTAAATTATGAAAAACTGTTTTTGGCCATGAGAGGTTTGGACTCCATTCAGCCTTTAGAAGTAGGTAGAGGCAGCTTCAATAGGAAGGCAAGTGTTTTTCTTCAGGATTAGAGGAAAAAAAACAAGCCTGAAGTATTTGCTTAATATTTTATAACATATAAATACTCCACATTGCTAAAGGGATTATTTATCATATATATAATTCTATAGCTGACTTTGGAAGGCTTAAGAAAGCATGATATTGGAAATTAAAGTTAAAGGCATCAAAACATATTTCAAACTGCACCTTTATAGAAATATGAATGAAGATCATTCCAAGTTAGCATTGGCCGCTGAAGAAAATCGAATAATTGGTTTCGGCTAAGAAAAGTCTTATTGGTCATTTTCTTACAATTTCAATAGATGATCTAAAAACATTTCCTTCAATGGTTGTCATTTTATAAAAGAAAAAAAAGAAAAAATTTCTCATGTAAATATTTAATCATGCCATCCAGATGACCCCCTCATCCTCGCCATGTTTAGGTAACGGCTGGTCCGAAGCACCATCTCACCGGTTTGGAGGGGTTGTCACCTCCTCCTCCTCCTCCGTGTCCTTCCTGGGAGTCACGGGGAAGGCGTGTTCCTGAGGAATTGGGGCTGTTGTCTTTGCTGACGTGTCCTGACTCTGGTATGTCCACACCGCTGTCCTCGCTGAGGGTTTGTCCGCTGTCAGACAGCTGAGACAGTGCTCCACCTTATAGGAAACAGAATGACCGGGTTAAAGAGCATTTGGATGGCCACCTTAATGGTCTCTTTTTCATTCAAGGCATTAATAATGCATCAAAATCAACTTATTCTAAAATTACCAATATAAAAAGAGCTATATCCCCCAGAGTTAAGAGTTTTTAATTGTTCAAATCCAAGGAATATGTCATTAAGATTTTATAACAGCAGACAAAAATCAAGTACTGTAAAACATTTTTCTGTCTTTATAAAATATTGGAAATAAAATTGATCCAACTGCTTTAATTCAAAACATAGAATAAACAATTATTCCTCCGGCTGAAATTACGTGATCTATAGATTACTCTTTTGTGGTATTTTAACTTTTTTTCACATTAAACTTAAAATAAAACTAAAGCTAAAAGAAATGTGCTTGTTTTAATTATATACTGAGCTGCTCTTCTCCTTGCAGCTTATAAAGAACAAAAAGCTGATATTGGCCGGTTGTGCCAATGAGGACTTTTATTGTTTTGTTTGTTTATTTTACATTTCTGTTTGTCACAAAAAATATTTTCTGACCAATTAAATATATTTTGAAAGCAGGAGCCTCTTTTTCAGGCAGTAGCATAACAGTGTGTAGCTAATTATTGGGGGAAAAGCCTTTTAATTCTCTGGGATCTTTTTAAAAGGCCTCTAAAATATAAGAGATAATTGTAGGCCAGTGCATTTTAAAGAGCTGTAAATACACCACACTGCATTAAAATGGTAAATGGCCTGTACTTATATACCGTATAAGTACAGGCCATCTATACTAGACTTGACCAAGTGCATCATTTACACAGGATGGTGACACTATATTGCAGCCACAGCTGCCCTGGGGCTCATGGAAAGAAGTAAGGCTGCCATGCAGTAGCTTCACTGGCCTTTCTTACCAACATTAAGTATTATCTTACAGTATTTGTGTTTCAAAACCTCCTTGATTCCTAATATTTTATGGTCAACTGTTTGTGGTATCCAACCAAAATCTGTGACCAAACCATGGAAAAAAATCACAGACCCTCGAACTTCACACAGTGTTCAGGTTAGCCTGAAAATATTTTTTTACGTAGAAAGTTTATTGTAATGGATTTAAATGATCAAGCTCCATCAAAGCTTCTGACTTGTTTCATTTAAAGGTCATGCCTCCAGCTGGAAATCCAATAAATGAGTCTGAGCTTTGTCAAGAAACCGGTACCTGCCTGACTGCACTGTCAAGTCCAAAGTTTGGAGGAGGGAGTATTATGGTGTGGGATTTTTATGTATTATTTTTTATGGCACTAGTGCTTCATTTTCCTGACAGGAGGCCGACAGGAACGGGGGAATGAGAGAGGGGGAGAGACATGCAGCAAAGGACCACAGGTCGGACTCGAAGCCAGGTCAGCAGCATGGGTCATGCGCAATAACAACTGCACACCCTTCTAAAGAAACCTGTAAAGTTTGTAAGATCTTTCAGTGATATTTTAGTCTCCTTGCTGTTTCAACATGACTCCAAAACTTTCCACAATCACATAGACAGTGGCGATTCTAGATCACATGAACAGGGTGGGGGTTATATTTACAACCCAGTCTCATGGGAAAATGTACCCCCACTA